CCCCAAAACCCCAAAACCCCAAAACCCCAAAACCCCATGAGATTAAATCTATTTTCAATAGTCAAAAGTTTTTATGTTAAATAATGAAGTCAAGATTAGTTATTATTCATAAATTTTATTCCATAGTTGCCATTTCCACTAATTCGTTTACTTTCTAGTTTGTTAGTAAAATAAAACTAATTTTCATAGCTCATTTTTCTGTTATGGAAGAAATTTTTTGTCTAGTTTAAACTAGCTTATATCTATTCTTATCCTCCAGATTGGTGCATCTTTTGATTTAAAAATGATTACTTTAGCTTTTGCGGACTAGGGGCTAACAATTTATCTGAAGATGTAATACTTTTTTATAAGTTCTTTTTGGAAAAATTCATCATAAACTGGGAGACATTCAATTGGGACAGATTTTGCTAATTAGATGTCTTGTTAATCATTAATCCACTACTGCTGTTAAGACTGTTAGCATTAGTCTAACTATTAAAATTTGTTGTTGAATTTTTAAAAGAATCATGTTGAATAATTGCTTTACTATTCAATTGGTGCAATGGAGATCCATTATAAGAGTGGTGCCTATCTTTAATTACAGGTAGCCCATTAGATTACACTCTAGTAATCCTCTCCTTTTAGAATGCTGGATTTTCGAATATATCTTGTAAGTTTTCAAGTTTAGCTTAATCTTATTGGTTTTTATCACTACTAGCTTGATACTGTAAATTTAACTAACTTACAGCATTACAATTATTACTAATAGAAAAATTTATTTTTTCTGACTCCCCTTAGTAACTGTGATTTTTTATGAGTTTAAGATTTCTTTGTTCAAAGAATTTGGATTTAGATTTGTTGCTATTACTGATATTAACTAATTAGTCTAGGTTTTCTGAGTTAAGCTTGATTTCATCTTAAATCTGATCTTTATATTCATCGCTTGAAATGCTGAAGTCTAATTCTTAGTTTTTCTTAAATTTATTCTTTGTGTCACTCTAACTATGATTTGAGTTATTTCCGTATTCAGAGCCTTTCTTACTGCTAGACTTATTAACATAGCCTTCTAGATCCATCTAATTACTCCTTTTTAAGAATGATTCCTTTTAACCATCACATCTAAAACTCGAAGTTTTTTAAAGGTTTTTATCGGTGAATTTGATATTGGTTTAAGCTATAGGATTTTATGAATTTTTTTTCTTCAATGACTCAGCGAATTTCCCATGAACCATCGATTCTAGCAACTGAGTATCCAATTTATTTTGAAGTTATGAATTTTATTAAATGCCACTTTTTTACCTGCTTTCTTATCCATTGTTTATTTTAATATTATTTATTGGATGAGATTAAGGTGATTATATGTTTTCTGCCTTGTTATGAAATGTTAGCAAGTTTGGCAAATTCGTTGACTTTTTAACAAGTAATAATATTTCGCCATTTTAACATTCGCTATCTATCAAATCATCAATTATTTACTTCATGTGATTATGACTTATTTCTCAATTACTTTTTTTAAATTGCATAGTAAGTCTCTTATATAAATGGCATTTGTCTAACTTATTATTGTATTAAGGATTAACCTCTATTTCTATATGAATATCATCTTTTTAATCATACTGAAAGTTTTATTAGTTATATTTATTGGAATGTTGTAAAGAAGATTGAGGCTCTGCTTTGCTGTCAAATCAATCATCTTAAGATTTACTAGGTGTTTAATTTTATGTCTCTTCATTAGTCAAGAGGTATATGATATTCCTTATTTTTTATTTCTTTTTATTTTACTTTGATTCTGACTTAGGCTATGATTTATCTTTCAAAATAGTTGAAACTCTCATTACACCTTATTCGACTTGTACTCTTTCATTTAACTCTTTTATCTTTCCTTTTTCATTATTAACATTGGCATTAGGCAGGTTGTTTTGCTTGAATTGACTGATAGAAGTATTTCCTTGAACATTTACCGATTGCTTTTGCTTCCTTTTTTACAATATTTTGATAAGCCTATCATCCTTGATGATATCGTTAGGATGCAAGTAATTATCAAACATCTCTCTGGGTTGATCACTCATCTTTTATTTATAAGTACTCTTTTAGGATATTTTTAATCAACCTTTTAAATATTAAGGTCCCTATATATAATTAACATTAGCATAAGCATGCATAGTACTAATTCACATCTCTTTTTATAACGTGATATTTCAATCTTGGGGTTTTGGGGTTTTGGGGTTTTGGGGTTTTGGGG